GAGATAACTTTGGGGATATCTAACAGCCTCACCTATAAGGTCCTCAACCTTATGTTGGCGTACTTCTGTCTTTGTCTCCTGGTCTTCATGCTATCTTTCCTTGCATTTTATATATGTATGTATGTCTGTGTGTACATGTATATATATATGCACACATGTACATCTATGTGCTGTAAGTCCACAGTTTATTATCATTTTTACTTATTTCTTAAGGAGGTTCGGATAGTAAGGTGAAGTGTGTGTGTCCACCTGTGTGATAGTTTCTGGCGTTCTTTATTCAGTTATGTGTATACAGATTGTGTTTACTAAAATAGTTCATCTATTTTTATGTGTATGAGTGTATTGTCTGCATGTATGTAAGTGCACCCGTGTCTTGCAATGCCTGACCAGTGGTCAGAAGAAGGTGTTGGATCCTCTGGAACTGGAGTTATGAATGGCTGTTAGCTGCCATGTGGGTGCTGGGAACTGAACCCGGTCCTCTGCAAGAGCAGCCAGTGCTCCTAACCTCTGAGCCGTCTCTCCAGCCTCTGTACACCAATTTCTGTCTGGTGTCATTTTCTTCCTGCCTGGAGGAATTTTTTGATTATTTCTTGTAGTTCGAGTCTGCTGGTTATAGATTCCCCGCCCCCATTTTCATGTGTAAGAAAGTATTTTAGTTTTGATTCTTGTGAGTGGCTCACACTGACCTCCTGGCCTTGTAGCTGCCTCTTGGATGACCCACTGCCTGAGGGTAGTCCCTTTCCCCACTGCCTGAGGGTAGTCCCTTTCCCCACTGCCTGAGGGTAGTCCCTTTCCTTTATCAGGCGCCACTCAGCCTGCACTTGGGTTTAACCACAAAAGAGATCCCGGTTCCTCCCTGGTGGCTGAGATGCTCACACATAGGTCACTGGGCCTGTGACACGGGAACCCGAGCCTCATCTGCACTCAGTTCTCTTGTTGCCTGCTAGAGACATCCCTAGTCGCCGCTCCTCAGCTATAGGCTGGCTGCGCTCTGTGTGTGGCTGGGGCCCTGTGACAGCTTTCCTTTCCTGCCACCACTGATTCTACCTGTGGCCTTTGGACTTCCTGACCAAGCCTGCCCATAGCTGTATTTGGTCCCTCCAAACAAGCATCATGGGTCCATCTTGTTTCATGGTTACTCACCATAAGACGAGAGAATAAAAATAACAAACATGGGGAAATGCCTGAGTTAAAACAATTCCATTCAGAATTGTGTCAGCAGTTCCTCATTCCCCAGACCTTGGGAGAGCGAGCAGATGCCTCCCTGAGCCTCTTCCTCTGTGCTTGTTGGTCACATAGCTCCCTTCTACCCTCTTTGTAGGCCCAAGGAGCCAGTCAGCACAGGAGGGGAAGGTTTACCCTGTCTCAGGTTTACTCAGGTGACTTCTGGGTTGCAAGATAAGTCCCCATTCCCAAAAGGCTTTGGTTCTCTCTGGAAAGCCATCTCTGCCGGTCCTCGGTGTCTCTGTCTTGGAGGTGGCTTTTCTTTGGGCGTGTTCTCATAGCACAGTGCTGCAGCATGGCACCCTCAGGGTATCCTGCAGGTAACCTGTGGCCCTCCTTGTCTCCATAGTCAGATCATCACCAGAGGACTGCTGGATGTCTTCCAGGACTTCAGCCACAACGAAGATGGCTTTCTGATGGTCGTGGAGATGGTCATCAGATGTCCAAAGACTCAGGTTTGTTTAATCATTCTGTAACTCATTTTTTACTTGCACATTTTTAAGGAATTATATACTATCAGTGTAAGCTAAACGTAAAAGCCTGCGTATTAATCAGTGAGCTTTAAGCAGTGTCTGAGCACAAATGGATTTTGTCATGGAGAGCGGATGTCTTACTTGAGAATGACTCAGATTGTCCTTATTTTTGGAACAGTAGAGTGACTGATGTTATGAATGCCACTTACCCTGACAGTTAGGCCTTTTGTATTTCTTAAGTTTTGCCAGAGTATTGGTTGCTAAGAAATGCCCAATCGAAAGAGGCCCTTTGGATCCGAGCAGCCCCAGCCATTAGTCCCTCACCTGTGATCTCCATGGCCAGACCTTGATTTTTCTATTTCCTCGTGATTGCTATTCTGGAAGAAAAGCGCAGTGCTGCGCAGCAGACTCTGACGTTGTCTGCCTCCCCACCCCCGCCACAGTGAAAATGAGGGAGATGAATGAGTGGTGGGCCCAGCAGTCCTGACAGCCACCCTGCAACCCCCCTTCTCTGCCTTTGTAATGAATGGCGAGATGCTTCAGAAAGTTCTGGAAATCTGAAGCCTTAGAATTTGATCATTTTAGCTGAAGATAGAAGAAGCCTTCCATATAGCTCCCATATTAGTTTAAAATATTCATATGGATGTGACACGACGCTTTTAAAAAGGCCCAAGTGGATGTTTGGAGTCTTTGAATGGCTTTTCTTCACAAATGAATCACCATTTCCAGTGCTGTGGCAATTATATATTTGTGTTACAGTTAATGTGGTATATTGGAGCTCGAGCCACTCTTTTGTTTAATGCTTTGCCTTAGAAATAATTGGGATGCGTGGATTGTGGGGGAGTGCATTTATGAAAGAATTATTTATAATGTATACATCCTGGCTGGAATTTAAATAAGCGCGAGCCTTAGGCCTGGCGTAGAAGCTGTTAGTTGTAATGGCTTTGGACGCTGGCCCAGTGCGGGCTTCTTGCTCCTTCCTTGATTGGTATGTGGCCTGTTATAGTGGAGTTGTCATCTTCTCTTTCTGTTTTTAGAGTGCTGTATAGCTTCTTAGCTTTTTAAGCCCGTCTGTAGCATAAATACTCTAAATGGGAAATGATTTTTAAACTACATTTGTCTAATCTCCTTGATGAAGTATTTTAGTAAGAAAAGCTAGAACTCTCAGGACATAGCATGCAGGATGCCTGGCTTATTCTTAATCTGACCATCGTCCATTGCTGCAGAGCCCACTGTGCGCACCGAGCTGATGGAGCAGATTCCTCTCATCATCACTTTCTTACCAGAGCGCTGGTTGGATTTCCCTGTGATGTTCACCAAATCCTTCCTACCTGTCGTGCTGCAGTGCCTCACAGATCCAGTCAGGTGCGAGCGCTGTCACCTTGCTATCTCTCCAGTGAGTTTTCCAAGGCCATCGTTTAGCTGTCAGTCATAGTTCAGGAAAAGGCCCTTATACTGATGCCCGCCACAAGCAGGTCCTTCCATCCTGTGGGAAGAGGCCAGCAGATAACCTCAGGTCCTCCCATCCTGTGTCCAGCAGGCTGTTCTTATGGACGGGGTCTCCTCTCCCTAACGTGTATTGCGGATGCATTCACACAGAGCAGTAGGGAAAATAGATGAGTGCTCGTGCACCTTCATCGCCTCAGCCGGCGTTGACATCCGGCTCCTCCCTGTTTTCCATTGATCTGACCCAGGTAGACTCCATCCCAGCCGAGGGCGGTTCCCAGACGCCATATGCTTCCGCTGTGAATCTTTGCATGGCTCTCTGAGAAAGAAAGGGCTGAGGATGTAGCTTAGTGGTAGCTTGCTTGCTTAGTACACACAAGGCCCTAGGTTCCATCCTTAGCACTACAGAAAATAATAAATAAACACATGCATATGCATGTAGAGAGAGATGGGTGGGGGGAGAGGGAGGCAGTACCATTATTATGTTATAAAAATTATCAGTAGTTACTTAACATCATCTGCTACATAGTTATTAATCAGATTGTCCCGGTTTCTCTTCCGTGTGTATTTATTTGGGCCTGTGTTTTTGAAACAGACTGGCCCGCCACTTGCTATATAGCCTGGGCTGACCTTGAGCTCTGGGTCTTCCCACCTCAGCCTCTCAGATGCTAGATTATGGACCTGCACCACCACACTTAGCTGGGGGTTTTTGCTGACAGTCTTTTCAAATCCAAATACCAGCAAGGGCCACAGCTAGATTTGCTTGGTGAGTCTCTTAAATCTCTGAAGTGTGACAGCTGTCCCTCTCCCTTCTCCCTTGTTGTGTATTGATTGATGAACCCCACCATTGGTCCTGTCTACTTTCTGCCATCTTGAGTGAGGCATCTCTAGGGTTAAGACTCCTCCAATCCAGGTGTCCTTTGTGCACTGGTGGTTGGAGCAGGAGTGGGCTTTGTGTCTCTGCAGGGGTGCTTCCAAGGGGCTGTCCCCTGCAGTAGCAAGCAAAAAGCATAGCGTAGCAACTTGCTTCTTTCTCGGATGCTGAGCTTGGCCTCTAGGTGTAGGTGTCATGTCTGACCTCTCATAAGAAGGTGCCTGTCACCTGTGAGCAGCTGTGGGTGGTCCTCACCAAGATCTACTGTTTCCTTGGAGACTGTGATTCTGACACTTGGGTTCCATCATTTATTCTTGATTTAATGGCTGGAAGCAAAGAATTTTTAACAACTCTTTGCTAACCCTGAGTATCTGTCTGTGTAGAAAGACGAGATAAATTCTTTATTTTTTTCTTTATTTAGTGGTTTCCAGAATAATTAGTTGATATCCTTATCATCTGTGAAGGTACCACAGGCTCATCGGTTGGCTTTCAGGATGATTATGAACTCCTAGTTTTAATGTGTTAACTGTGTTTCAGCCTATTGAGGGCATTACTCTTTTTGATAATTAAAGTGCTCCAACTCTGGGAACCCTGTTGTTCTAGAATCTGACACACCTAGTAGACTTTGATAGTGTGCCTCCACCTGGAACCAGCTGCTTCTTCAAGAAGCTCATGTCCCTTTATAGGGAAAATAGTAAGAAGCTGGAACATGGGTCTTGGGGTGCTTGGAGCTGTGGGATTGATTGTTGCTTCCTGTGACAGCAATGAAAACAGATAAAAACCTCTCCATTGTTTATTGGTGTTTCCAATCCAAAGAGGATTATAGGGCTTTTACTTTCTTTTTAAAAAAAGATTTATTTTTAATTTTCATTTTATTTGTATGAATGTTTGCCTGCATGTATGTATGTGTAGTACATGTGTTCCTGGTACACTCAGAGGCCCAAAGAAGGTGTCACATCATATAGAACTAGAGTTACAGACAGTCATGAGCCGCCATGTGGGTGCTGGGAACTGAACCCTGGTTCTCTGCAAGAATAGCAAGTGCTCTACCACTGAGCTGTCCCTGCAGCCCTAAGGGTTATTACTTTCTAGATTTCATATTTGTATCTTTTTGCCTTACGCAGTGTAATTCTTGCATGTTAACTGACATGAATATGTGTGTTTATTCCCACACTGTCACCAACAATGTGATAGGGTTACTGGATATTGCCCAAGGTCTAAGCTCTCCGTGCAGCTTCTTGGTCACCTGCGTGTCACTGTGTTTTAGTTACTTGCGTTAGCTCTTCTATGTAGTTAACTTGATGAAGTTATGCTTATTTGTGTGTGTGTGTGTGTGTGTGTGTGTGTGCGTGTGTGTGTGTGTTGGGGGGGGAGTGGTACTGGGGATGGGACTCAGGCCTTCTGTGTGCTAGACAAGTACTCTACAGTGAGCTGCAACCCAAGCCCTCATTTTATTTTGGGACAGGGTCTTACCAGGTTGCCCAGGCTGCCTTTGAACTTTTGGTCATCTTTGCTCTGCCTCCCAAGAACCTAGGAAAAGAGGTCTACACCACCAAGCCTAACTGGTTTTTGTTTTTTTTTTTCTCCTGCTGTTTAGAAACAAGGTCTCACCAAGTTGCTCAGGCTGGTCTTGAACTCCTGGCCAGCAGTCCTCCTGTCTCAGTTCTCTGAGTAGCTGTGCTCCATTGTACCTGGGCATTCACACACCTTAAAGGATGGCACTAACTTTTACATTTTGACTTAATACTTATTTAAAAGGTTTACTTAATTCCAAAATGAAAACAAAATGATGATTTGGAGAATCAAATTACTTCACTTCCTCCCCTCCTAGGTCCTCACTTCTAGGGTGATTTCTTTGAGGCTTCGGCATTCTGGTGGCTCTCAGATCGGGCCTGAGTTCTGCCCCTGTCCTTTCTCAGATTGCTGTGCCACCCCTCCTTGCTTCACCTACCTGCTCATTGTCATGTGCCCTGCCCTTGGTTCAGAGGCTGGCTGTGGCTCCTCTAGCTTCCCTTTTCCTGCGGCATCAGCCTCCATAGGGGGATGGCACATGGGCTACTGAATATTGGGGTGACTTCTAGTCTTGCCTCTTTAACATTCTGGGAAGGGGGCTGGGGAAATGGTAGTGGGTAGAAGTGCTTGTTGTACAAGCCTGATGACCTGGGTTCAGTCCCTGGACCTGTAAGAAGCTGGATGCAGTGGTGCACGTCTTGCAGCATTCCTACTGTGACGTGAGAGGTGGGGACAGGACAGTACCCAGAAACAGGAGGGCCAGGGAGGCTGGAGTGTGCAGTCCAGTGCAGAACAAGAGAGACTCCACCTCAAAGACAAGACGGAAAGAGAACCAACTCTTGAAAGTTGTACACACGCACACTCACACACACACATGCACACACACACATGCACACCCACAATGCAGTGAGGAAAGGCTTCTTTTGTCTCTCTTTGTGCCAGCATATTCTAGGGATGACTTCTATAACGGGTAAGTATATTTAATTTTGAATGATTTGCCATGTTTAAGATATCCGTATTTTCAAGAAATTCTAAAAGTTTGGCTTGTGGTTTTCCCTTGATCCGGTGTTCTTAAAAAGAACAGATAGTCATTTTTAACTGTTAAGCAGTGTGACAGGACTCAGTGGAGTTTTCAAATAAGGAAAAAGCCATCCTATCTCCACTCTCCTGCCTTGGCTATTTTGATTATCTTTGCATTTTCTCCCACATGGGTCTGATTGTAATGCGAGGCAGTTTCTTCCATTTGTTCATTTGTTCTGACAGTTTCTGAGTGCCCATTGTGAGCTGAGCATGGTGTGCTGTGCCTGGGGAGGAAGACAGGAGCAGGACAGATTTCTGCCCTCAGCAAGCTCCTCTGAGGGCCACAGCCAGCTCTGTTTCTTTATTGTCTCCGCGTCTTTAAATCTGTCAGATGCTCACAATCCCCAGCCTCTTGTGTGTATGTAGGGTGTGTGTGTGTGTGTGTGTGTGTGTGTGTGTGTGTGTGTGTGCCTTTGTGGTGTATGTATGTGTGTGTGCAGTGTATGTATGTGCATGGAGTGTGTGTGTGTGGTATGTATATGTGTGTGCTGTATGTGTACAGTATATGAATGTGCATGGGGTGTGTGTGTGTGGTATATATATGTGTGTGGTGTATGGATGTGTGTATGTGTGTGCTATATGTGTGCAGTGTATGAATGTGCATGGGGTGTGTGTGGTATATGTATGTGTGTGCTGTGTGTGGTGTGTGTAAGGTGTATATATGTATGTGTGTTCTGTGTGGGGGTGTGATGTATGCATGTGTGTTGTGGTATGTATGTGGGGTGTGTGTAAAGATATGAGCGACACGAGGACATACTTTTATTCTGCTGACTTTCCTTTCTCTTGATGAGTTCTTGAAAATGAGACACTGGGTCCAGGGCTTCAATGTATTCCTGGACTTCGTCGTCCATTTTTGCTGTGTGTTTTGCTCTAGGAGGGTGGAGGCAAGAAATGTGGCCTTGCTTCCAGATCGATATGGTGCCTACACCTGCTGTGTGTAGAGGAGGCGCATCCCTGTCCAGGCCCATGCTGCTTCTGCCTGTGACCACCCCAGTGGCTCCTCACCACCTACCATGTGGGTGAGCTCCCAGAGCTGGCCTTGTACCCTGAGCGCACTGCATGCCTTTCCTTTCCTGCCATCCTGGCCTTGCTGTGCGCACAGGCCTCGGGTTCCACAGCCCCGTCATGTCCGTCCATGTGGACCTCTGCTGCACACCCTTCCCTCCCGTCTCAGCCCCGTCCCTGCTGTCCCCTCTGTGTTCCTGTCCTTTGCTAGGGTTCTCCCCCTGACTGCTGGCCAGCCTGCTTCTCCACTCCTGCCGGCTGAACTCAGTTGGCGGGAGGGAGTCCCGTCACGCATTGATTGGTGCCGTCAGAAATTTATGGGCTCCAGTTGCAGCTGGACATGCGGCACTGCCTGGTGATCCTTCTCCCCGTCCCTTGACAGCTCCCTTAGACCTTTGCTGTTGTCATCAGGCCCCTCACCTCGCCCTGCCTTCCGCCAAGCAAGTGACCTTGCCTTTTACATCACAGAGAAAATAGAG